AGAAGCGCGAATCTTTAACATGGGAATCTTTTAAAAGCGGGAATCTTTATAATGGAGAATCTTTAAAAGCAAGAATGATCAAAACGTTGTAAAACGTTGTGCGTCAATATTTAACTACAGAGAAATTCAAGACTCCCCAACACCAACGTAATGACGATAATTAAATGAGAGAAAAATATGTGACCAGTCTAACATCCTTCCTCCTTGGTCATCCCTCACCAAAAATAGATAGAAATCATAGAATATCTCACATGCAGATGAGTTGAAGAAAACCTACGATTTTCAATCAATAAAGACGACAGGAGCACTAAGTTACAATCTGCGTAGTAGGTGCTGATAAAGTCCTTATTTCATAATGGGAATACATGATAAAATTACAAAAATGTTCTGGAAAGTTCCACTCTAACGTTTCGAAAATTCAATGATATGCTTGTTGGATTATAAAACCAATATTCCAATGCTGTTTCAACAGTGCTTTTCCGGAATTCGAAGGACAGTCAAGGTAAGGGCCTACAATTTATTATAAATTTCAACCCTCTCCACACTAACCATGAATCCAACTTTACCTCTACACCTGCTCTAAGTTGTTTTTCTTTTCGCATTAGTGACTCGTCAGTTAAATGTCTGGTTCGTATTTTGTTTCTTAGTCTTTGGCGTGAGACTTAACATGGAATTAATGAGAATGGAGGCATGCCAAATTCTTCGAAATGGCGTAAGCAGTATATTTATAGCCGATTAAGACCTTTCTCTTAAGTAAAAAGGAGATTTCTTTTCCGGCATCGAAGCTAATTACAAACAGACAAGGCCGTCAAAACCTGTCCAAAAAAAACATTGAGTTTATTGACTTTATTGAATATCACTTCCTAGTCAGCTAGCTATTCATAATGCACGCAGTACTGATTATAGGAGCACTGGATTTGTCTCCCCGTTTTGTCTAGGTCTTTGATTAAATTCTGGTGAACCTTTGGGGAGCAAAGCTGAACTAACCACAATAGACGAGAGGCACCAAAAAAATATAGAACTCCTCTGCCGTTACGAGAACACTGATGAAAGCACGAGGCCGCAGATCGAGTGGTTTTATTGTTTTTGAGTGTTTGGAAACCCTGATGAAACCCTATGCACGAGTTTTTGAAATAGCTTCTCGATCGCGCCTCAGGAAATGAAAGAAAATGAAAATATTTACGAATTTTTCACACGTTGTCGGCAAGTTTTTTGTAGTAATATTCAAATTAAGAAATCAGTTCACCAGTGTTTGATGCTTTATCTAACTCAAGGGTTTGATATTATATGAAACTCAGAGATAGCGCGTCATTCCGGTGTTTCACCGGGGCTTTCAAACCGCATGCACGTGACGAGATTGGCGTGACTTGCTTGGATGTTCACCTCAGTTATGAATAATTAATAAGTTTGAGAAAGCTTAATTCTTAAGAGATGTGATTAAAGGTTGACTCAGAGATCACCATTAACAGTCCGCATGCTATTCACCAGCCTAGGTCAGTCCGTATTGCGAAAATACCTGCCCTCTGTCTTGAGTACCACAAGTCAAGACCTCGGGTCCAATACGGACCTCTCAGCTAGCCAATAACAGTCATTTATCCATCACTTCATGGGTTTGTTCGGAACCGAAATAACGACAAACTCCCAGTTTGTTTGTTAGCTCAGTTGGTAGAGCATTGCATCAGTAACGCAGAGGTCATGGGTTCAAATCCAGTACAGTTTTTTAGGCCTTATTTTCATTACTGCTTAAGTAGTGTTCGTTAGTGCAAAGATCGCTTTTATATTCACGATGTCAACATTACAGTGAATTATAATCTTCACGCCGAAGGCGATTTATAGCGTTTTTAGCATTGAAGCCGCCAATCCCAGAAGTCTATTTTTAATTTTCTTCTTTATCAAGAAAAAATTTGTCACCACTTTTATGGAAAGTTTCTTTGAACTCCATGCTTATTGTGATCGATTCCTTGATTAAATATGAGGCAGATGTTAAAAAGCCGCCATTTTGAAATTCGTGTTGGTTCTCGTCAACTCCTCAAAAAACTGAATCATTGGAAATTTTTCTTTGTAAGGCAATAAAACCGACGGAAAGAAAAACTTGTTTAGGAAAAAAGCCTTCATAACCTCTATCATTTTATCTGCTTTAAGTGCATGTCAGCCAAGTGGAAACCCCGAATGTTAAAAACTAACTGCTGGGCGATAATGATCGATGTGCAAAGTTCGCGCTGAAACAGCTTGGCTCCTCTGTAAAATCTGCAAAAAGCACCATTCTATATTTTTATTTGATCATGATTATTTTTATTTAAAAAGTCTTGAACTTATGGAAAAAAAAAAGTCGCATTCGGTGTCACAAAATTTATTCATAAGTCTGGCTAGTTTATATGCCTCATGACGCAGATAAGCTATATCATTTATATGTTTTTTTTTTTTTTTGCGGTCATAAATTTTAAACTTGGGTGGCAATTATCGACATGTGTCTATTGCAGTTGCTGCCAAACATTGAGAACCATTTTAACATACTCCTACATGTTTAATGAACATCAATGGAGGCCTAAATGGTCTATAAGCATGGCCTTCTGCAGTGTCAAATAGGTTGAAATATATCTGCTAGGTATACTATTGGATCGGAATAGACCCACATTGTGACATACGTAGGCAAAAACACCTGTTTCCTTTATATTTATTTAAACGTAAGAAAGTTGAGTATATTCACATTTCATCTTGTCTGCTGTGGCAAGCAAAAGACTTGAGGTGGGTTGAATGACCTTTTTCTCATCACTACTTTTACTATTTATTAATTTTTTATTTTAAAATACTTTGTTCTCGTAAAAACTCACCAAAGCTGTCTCTAAGTGCCAAAACTCATGGAGATTCAGCAATTTGAGTGATCAGTGAGAAACATCACATTTCATTAAATGAAGAACATCTTGAGCTTTTGCAAGACTTACTTAAATTATTCCGTAGGAAATGACTTTTGTCAAAAATGTAAAATTAAAACAATCAACAACAATCATAAGAATATAACAAGGTAAGTGAGTGAGGTTTTCTCATTTCTTTGACGTTTTTCCCTCCAGTCTTTCATGACAAACTCTCACCTGCTGTTTTCATTAGGCTTTATTTAGACCTTCAATTTACATTCTGGTCAGGTTCCGTAGGCATCGGTTGCGTAGGTAACAAGATATGACATTTTGCACGAGACAATTTCTAAGCCATCTGGTTGTCACTTTTGTTTATTGCATTTTTTTGGTCACAAAATATCGACGTTCTGAAATGAGGTCTCATGCTTCTATTCTTTTAAGGTTTTTGGACCAGCCAGAGAAAATAATAGGATTATTTTCGCTCGGTTGACTCGTTTGCTAAAATTAATTAATTAATTTATTATTATTATTATTATTAATAATTACAATACTAATAAAAATAATGATGATAATAGCTATCATTATGGTGGTGATAATAAAAGTAATGATAACAAGTCTGATAATAGTAATAATGATAAAGCCACATCCTCAAGAGCAGGTTTAACCCTCTCCCTCGCCTATCATTTTGCACCTCGGCTCATATTCCCAATAGAAGTTTGGTAATAACTTGACAATTAATCTGTTGATGAAGAGAAAAATTTCCATCACCCGCTGGCTGCTTTGGTTTAAAAAAAGACTTTTTGCCTTATGCCATAGCAAACAGACAATTTTACATTTAGGTAAATTTTGCATGAGGAAGTGGACGAACATCCAATGACCAGAATGCTAAATACACGTTGGCTTGGAAACGCTGGCAACTTCTTCATGCTGTTTCTTGTTACTAGTGCTATAAGCAGCCTTTCATCCGAGGAAATAATCAACAAATGCAATAGTAAAATTGGTTAGTAGGCACTGAATTTTCGTTTCCAAATCTAAAGTTACATACTTGATCCACAAATCAAGTTTTGTAGTGAAGTTATTGGTTGAATCATCGTTATGATTGATTTAGGTTACCTCGAGGACTACGCATTTAATTTTTTTTTAACTTTTCCGTCAAGTGACACATGAAATGAATACCTTCTCAAGTCCGCCAAACCGCACATTAATAGTAGGTGCAGATATTAACTTGACTTGCATAGCGCGGCCAAGGTATGACCCCCGACTACATCCTAGGAGATGGACCAAGTATATTCAGTGGTTTGATCCCCAGGGTAAACCAGTTGGAGCCAAATGCCTGCAGGGTATATCAAAAGCGAAAAAGCTAAGCTGCATATCAATGCTCAAGAGGTTGACTATGGAACAGTTTGGAAACTACACTTGTGAGGCTCACAATCATTATGAGGGATATTGCAGGCAAAAAGTTGTCGAAATCGAGCTGCAAGGTAGGCAAAACATATAAAGTAATCTCCTCGAGAAGCAATAAAGTAATTGATGACATGAGTTAAATTGTATAATAGGGTGTTGTTTGTGAGCACACATTTGCGTAGAAATCTCATAATAAAGTAAACTGGCAAATGCGGTGCCTGCTTAAAGCTCATTCTAACTTGCCGATTTTTGATCATACTGCCTGGGCACAATCAAAGTTTGGCAAATCAGTAATAATTAGAAGAGGAAGAAATTTCATTTTCGAAACAGCATTAAACCTAATGAGTAACACGGAATGATTTATTGCTTACGGAACCCACGAGTTATCTCTTTGCCTACTCTAAAAGCTTTCATCTGTTTATCACTCTAATTTGCCCTCACCTTAGGAAAGAAATCGCATATCGTCTTTACAGTAGCAATTTAACTGAAAATAAAGCAACGTTTTCCCAAATGGTACCTACCTTCCTGGGATTTTTTTTTCACTTTCTCACAACCCCACCACCTAAATCAGCTTTCTTGAAAATATTTCATATTAAAAATAATACTAAAGCAAATATTAATTTTCGGCATGGACTCAGACCATAGCGAGAGAGAGTTTTATTACCCTGATGAGGTAGAAAATTCAGTGACAAAGAAAATATCGGTTCGCAACAGAAAGAAAACCAAGAAAAGGGTCAGTTTACGATGGCAAGTTTGCAAAAGTACATTTTAACACAACGTCCAGAAAATACCGTAAAAAAAAGAGAATACGACCTACACGTTTGGAAAAGATTGTTTCTTAAGTTGGGCGAGGCCAGGAAACTTGAAGAAATACCGGCAGATGAGCTCAACATCTTGATATGTTAATTCTTGATGGAGATAAAGAAGAAAGATGGCGGATCGTATGAGCCGGCAACGCTATAATCATTTCAAAGAAGACTGCAACGATATCCAAACGACAAGAACTCCAAACTGAACATTCTTAAAGACCGAGAATTCCTTAAGTCCGGGGAAGATCTTTTTTTCTAAAAGAAACAGCTGGTTTTTCAAGAAGCGAAAAGAAATCGCCCTCATGCTGCAAGAGAACTATCCAACACCGAAGAAGATTTGTTGTTTCTCACGGGTGAATTCGGCGCTGAAAACCCTGAAGCCCTCCGACGCACAGTTTGGTGGTTATTGGCACTGCACTTTGGATTCCGTGCCCGAGACGAAAGCAGGAAACTGAAATGGGGCGACATTGTTCTTCAAACAGACAACGAAATGGGAAAGGAATTTCTGATTTGGAAATCAGAAAGAGGATCCAAGACCCGCCGCGGCAATGGTGATAAACGAGCATTTAATCCAACCACGCAGGCAACAAACAACGAACTTTGTCCAGTTTTCTATTACAAGGAATTCAAGAGTCACCGTCCAGAAGAAATGAATAGCGCTGACAGCCCGTTTTACTTGGCCATAAATTATCGGCGACGACCTGGCAGCAACGTCTGGTACATGAGAGCACTACTCGGCAAGAACGAGATTGATAAGCTGATGAAAACAGCTGCGCAATCAGCAGGCCTGCTGGGAAATTTTACCAACCACACTGTTCGAAAGACTTGTTTATCTCGCCTGATGCACGCAGAGGTTCCCGTAAATTACGTCGCTCAGTTAAGTGCGCACAGAAATTTAAAGAGCCTCGATTCTTTCCAAGCAGCGTCCGCAGACCATCAGCGGAAAATGTCCTTCAGTTTAAGCCGCTCCGGCCAAGAAAGTACTCAGACATCGACAGTAAGCGTCCACGA